TAGGTATGAGGAGAAAATTGCAACCAAATGACGACACTATGACGAGTGTAAGGTGAAGGAAAAGTGAAGAGTCAAGGTCTTTTTCTTTAAGGGGGGAAAATCATCGAATGACTGCTCCCGCCTGGGTGAGGCGGGAGGGAGTGTCAGACTTTTACTGACTAAAAACCTCCCCGTTCCTTCTCCTGCACGTCGAGCCCGAGCCCCGGTAACCCGTTAGGTTCTCCGCGACTCCGAAAGAGTCAAGGTCTAAGAGTCAAGATCTAAGGAAGGGACCAGAGACATATATCTGACTTCGGTAGTACTGATGCCTAAATATGATAAAAAGTCTTTAACTTTTTGATAACTTTATCATCGACCGTTTGCTCTAGTTTGTTTTTCTTCAGAGTAATTTAATCTGATAGGGATACCATATTGTGTATAACACTTGTGCACTTAACACATCTTAATATATTATATCGATTGTTGAGTGTACCGAGCTCAGATAAGAGCAATATACTTTACAGTTATCATTGTTTTTACAATTTTTTAATTATGATTCTTCACAAACAAATATCTATACATGTATACAGATAAATAAAATTGGAGTGCCCTTTGTAATATAGAAATAATCGCTTTTTACTACATGCATATGAATATAATACATAAACATACCGAAATATTTTTTTTACAGATAGTCCATCTTTTATGATACTTTAAGTGTTGTTAGTTAATTCTAGCCTCCATGTCTACCACGATTAGCTAAATCTTAAGTAATTATATTCTAGCAACGCATTGTTTAAACTGGTTTACTCCAAACAAGTACGTTTTCAATTAGTACTGGTATTAACGGTATTGTAATTTCCGATCCGATCCGACTCAGGTTTTACCATACCTTTGTGGTAAATAGGTACCAGGATGATAAGGAAACGGAGAGGGAAATTGTATTTGTAGGTACACTCCCGACGTGACGTGCCATTTCACAATATTGCAATAGGTAACCGTTTTTACCTCATTTACTTTCAAATAAAAGTCTATTTTATTTAAAAAAAAATTATTGTCTGGTGTTCATTTCAAATTTGTTGAAAAGGCGTGCACGCAAACTTCTGACGCGTGAATCATTCCAAAATCAGCTCAAATAATGATAAAATTATATAGAAAGTACTATGAAACATAGATAGAGTAGCAAATATCATCTAAATAAAAGACAATGCATGGTGCTATAGGAACAAAATTCCTTATAACAACAATTCGCACTCGTGAACAGAGCGCCCTTCAATGACCACCACAGTCACTTCATGTTACCGTTTCCACATGCTTACAAGTCAATAACTCCGGTTAAGCAATGTCTAAGATACACTTATTGATTAATTGACCAAACAAAACACGTTGCACCAATTAATTCCATTCAATAGAATAATAAATCTATGTTTAGAAACGGAAGCCATGGAGTTAAAAAACATGAAGCTTGGGATTCACTTGAGGGATTTGGTATTTTAAGATACAAAATAAAGTGAAATAGGTAGTATCTATCATGCAACATATCTAGTACATAGCATGTTATCGTGTTGCTTGATAGTTGATACACAAATAAATACAACTAAAAAAAATTAATTGAGCTCTTTATAAATATTGATTTTGTTTCGTGGGGGTAACCAAAAACGCTCATAGCGCCATCTACAATCATGTTAGGAAATGTCCATTTTTGTTCTTTAACTCTCTCAGTATTACTATAAAACGATAAACTTTGACTTATTTATATTATAACCAATACTTTATTATTTTTCGCACCTCTGTTGTTACTTTTTGCAAAATAATTCATAAAATAGTAATAGTCAAAATGCTATATACTCTAACGACTGGTAAGTAAATCAGTGTACACATGAGCGCAAACTACTTTTTAAGACATGTTTTTCAATTTGCCCTCCAGTGAATCCTCGAGTTAAGATAATGTCTGATTCTATGGTGATTGAAAGGTATAAACTCTTTTGTTTCGGCTCGTTTCGAGTTGCCATAAAAACTCGCCTTGAACAATTCGTGTATTGGATCGGGGAGCGAAATGACCTTACTTAAGTTGCGTAAGTAAACCAATTTATTGAAACAAGTGCGTAGGTTAACGTACCAAAAATACAAGTTAATTTTGTAACTTGTTAACTCGTGAGAAATTTCTATCTATAGGCTGTAATTAAATGGGTAATAGGATATCCTTCTAAATTTTGTAAGACATCACAGACCAGTGTACTATGTCATTTAGTGATAAACGACTGAGAAATCAATGACGAAGAAATTTTAATCGCATTAAAATAAGTAAGCCCGAAATATAAGCTTGATATTTTCTTTGACCGTGTTATAGGGTGTTGTTTCAAATCCTTTAAAATGGAAAAGTGATCAAAACTTTTTAATTTATTATGACGAAACGAAGTGGGTGAGCAGGTATGTTAAGACCGCAAAATAATGTCACACATTATTTTGATATTATTGTCATATAATTATACCAACACGTTAACGCTCTCTTTTAAATGTTGTTTTGTTTCCGTCCAAACCAGAAGTAAACACGTTTAACATTTAAAAACATGCATCACAGTAGGTATCCACAGTTTAAAAAGTCGTAATACCAATGTAATACCATTTACGAGATAAATAAATATCATACTGTCGTGGTGGCCCGGAACGTTTAAAACGCCCGCTTCTCATATATACCCTCATGTGTGTTCGAAACCTACCAACGGCAAGTACCAATGTGACTTTTTCCGAGTTATATGTACTTTCTAAGATTATTTAGATACCACTGACAAACGGTGAAGGAGAACATCGTGAGGAAACCTGCGCTTATAATGACTAATTATAAGTTTTAAATCGCCAACCCGCATTGAGCAAGCGTGGTGATTAATGCTCAACATTAACCGTGGAAGAAAAGGCTTTGCTCAGCAGTGGACATTTATAGGCTGTTGATGGATGGATGGATGAAATATCATGTTATTATAATTTAATTTTATTTATAGATTTATAGATATAATCGTTCATTGGTTGTGATTGCCTACAGTTGATATCCTTATACAGTTTGGACTCATAATGTAGGAACTTTATTAACAACAATAATGTGTTTGTAATCTCTTAATCATACCTAAGACCTACAACTACAATTGACACTGAGTTCGGTCGATGGGTATTACCTACAGAGTGCACAAGTCGGTATTTCTAACCTATAAAAATATCTTCTTTATATTGTAAACCATAACCAGATACAGATTTCCAGAACAGCAGCTGTAGCCAAATGCCATTTAGGGCTTGTCTACTTGTACAATAGAAAACTAAATTATATGGAATTGACGTAAATTTTGGCACTTGTCAGTGTCATCCCCATGCATTTAGTTTTCTACTCTCTCTGTAGACAAGCGCTAAAGTGGTGTTTGGCTAAAAGTACTGGACTGATGGAACTATTGTCATCGTCTTCCCCCAGCAGACGCCCACCATTTAACAAAGAGCTTGCTGCTTGCCTCTTCTTGAAGGTTGCTACAAACCGCTTGATAGGCGACTAGGAATCGTAGACAGATGACAAAAATATAATAGAATTAAATGATGCTGCTAACCCTCGGTCCCTAGTCAGAGTTTTAGAATATATAGGTATAAGCCTACCCGAGACCTGTAGATATCAATGGAATATAATGAACTCAGACTCAGGTGCATTTCTTTCAAAAAGTCTTAGCAGCTTTTTATAATGATAAAGTTATATGAACTGTGTTGCATTACCTCTGCCAGCATTTTCGAGATAAAAATGTGGATATTATATCCCAGAAACATGCACGTGAAACGTGATTTATGACTTGATAACATAACATCCTGTCCACCCAACTATAGTAGTAGGTACCACTTACAATTTTCATTAAAATACAACATGTTTTGCATTAACATTTTACTCAATTAATTTTATATTACTCTCGACTTTAACTAAGGTCGAAACTATCATTTCATGTATTGTTGATTTCTGCCAGATGTTTTATTATTCATTTTTTAAAGTTAAAGAGTTAATACTGGCTGTTTGTCCCTAAAGCAATGGAGAATGGTAGGTACCTTTATTATTTTTTAACCGACTTCAAAAAAAGGAGGAGGAGGAAAAATCCATAACAAAATATAAAGTAGTTACCTAATGTCACAGCTGATATAATCCGTAATAAAATTATAAGCAGCTTAATAATAATGTTAGGTATCTATTACGGTTTTAATGAATAATTTTGTTTAAAACTTGTGGCACCGACTTCTAACCTATCAGTAGGTATGTAAGCTTTAAGTACGTATGACCAATAATAGTTATTGTTTTTCATATTTAGTTTTTACTTTTCGTTTCGTTTGTCTTTAGTTTTTGAAGTCGGTTTTTATAAACGCAGTTTTTTTTATTTTTTTTTAAAGTCGTCATTAAAGGCAGCATTTATTTTACACAATTATAGATTCATACTTATTTGCTATTTCAGCTTTAGAATTATTTTTTTAATTCGTATTGCTTTAATAAAGAGTTTTTGTGTATTTTATTTGTACCTATCTTATTGTTGTACCTTATATTATTTAGGATTGGTAAAGTGAATTCAAGTAAAAGTCATAAATACATGGTAAATAAATTTATTGACGTATAAAAAGAACTTAGGTATAGGGGAATCCTTTTTACGACAATTCACATAATATAAGGATCTAATAAAACTAATCTCCAAATAAAGGTAGACGATGCGGTGCTGAAAATGTGAATTGTCGTAATAATTAAACAAGTAATCCGATTTATAATAGTTATTAAATTAATTTCAATTTGTTCGCAAAAATAGTATAGTTAACATTTCTTTAATTCATTACAAATTAATTAAAAGTAAGTATAGATATTATCAATATATATTTTGGCAGTTATCGTAAAATAATGCAATTGAATTTGTGACAAAAACATCAATATCAAAACAGAGTTGAAAATCAAAGTAATTATTTTAATTACATCACTAACAAGCACTTGGATTTAATAACTCTATTAATAAAGAATGTCAAAAATAATTAATTGTCTTTATCCAAACCCAATTATTACTATTTAAATGAAATATTGTGCAATCATTTCATAAGTACACTTAATTTGAACGATGATTTTAATTACATTAATGTAGCGTAATAAACGAAAAAATATTCTAAATTGCATGTTTTCGAGAGCAGGAGTGTTAATATTAATGACCAAATTAACATAAGTTTAATTGACATATTCTTTTTAAAAGTTCAATACCTAAACAATACATAAAAATAACTTTTGAAAAAATATCAAACAATAAGAGAGTAACAATAAGATAACTAGCCGCTATCAGTTATATTCCAGTCTTTGGCATTAATTTCGCCATCACTCCAAAATTTCGTTGTGAACAAAAAAGAGAAATAATTTGAACCTTAAAACTATCAAATAAGTAATTCATAAGAGTAAAGAATAAGCTCGAAAACAAGACGAGATAACAACAGGAAACAAGTTAGGAGCTGAAACTGAGATGCAATAAATACTGGGACCAATATGGAAGAATATGAGTGCGAACATCTAAAAAGACCGCACTTGGATGCACCACAACTCACGACGGACGATAACGATCAAAATAATGACCATGTTACTCAAGCCATCATAAATTTCAGTGAAAACTGGTTAGCCTCGTTATGTCACCAAGAGCCAAAAAATCCTTATTTGGATCGCATCGTGCGTCAGTCAAATGACAAACTATTTTCACTCTCACGAGTCCTTGTTAACCGTATCGAGAAGTTGAAAGATGTTTGTAAGAAGCTATAGATAACCTGGGTGTTGATTTTAACTGTTACAATACAATCCATGACTCTGCGCCAGGGCAAACTGATACCTAAGTGAGAATCACTTAGGTATCTCCCCTCCTCCCAAGGCTGTTCAAACTTCTATAGAAATTACCCTGGCTTGTTTTAAAATCTAAGTACTTTAAACTATCACGAAACAATCGTGCTCAAATTCTGTTTCAGATGTTAAAGTTCCATTTTTGTTATCAGGAACAATTCTCGGATCTTTTAACATATGGATCACAAGAATCATAAACTCACGTCTCGGACTCGAGACTTCTTCCTCTATGCAGTGGACTTAACGTCCACATATCACAGCCACTGTACGACACGGTACAATCACACGACAGACACACGACCAAACCTGTCTTCATTGCAGATACAAATCTCAAAAGACATCCGAATGGTCGACACACTTAACTTAAGCCGTACGACTTAAAGTTCACTTAGTATCGAGGAACGTGGTTCTACCTACGACTAACCAAATAAACACACTGTCACAATTAAACAAAATACTGTAACGCTCGACTACAATATACTTAAATTCTACAATGCAAGCTGGAACAGTCTTAATACATTCTCTATACTACGCACTCGTTTAAATTCATAGACAGAACTTCGTGGTATTCTTACTACAACTATGTATCAAACATCAAGCAGTTCTTTAAGTACTTGATGGTTTAAATTATCTATAACAAAATGCTAAATCTAAATTATATGGGCCTAACTTGCACTGCAGATAAATAAAATATACTTATTCTAAGGGCGAGAATCTACTTGGTGGAGTTTCCCGAGCTGCCGACTTTGTTTTTGAGCCAATTGTTAGTGCGAGTGAGAATGTCAGGTTGTTCTGTTGAGGCCTGCCACGCTTCTAGATTGACTTTTTTGATTTCTTCGCATGGGACGATAGGATTACTGCAAAGATAAAATTAAATGAGTCACAAAAATATAAACTTAAGAACTGAAGAAACTACTTTTAAATATTTTAAAGAGACAAATGTCAGATTGAGAAGGAAAACCGCTTTCAATAATATGGTGATGATAAAAAAATATTTGTAAATAAACAACATAACCAGGAAACATGCATCAGAAGGTCGTATTTTATTTTATTCTGCATCCTTTAATTATTGTATTGCATTAAAGGCTCCTACTTTCCACCAGGAATTGAGTCATTAAATAATATCTTCAAAATTCGTATAACCTTGAGAAAAATCTAGCTAAGTAATTGTGTTGATTTTATTTTATCAATAGAGTCTTATGGGTCACAATTTTGTACCTTTTGTACCAATGGCATCCCTTAGATTTGTTACCCAATATTTGAAAATCTGCCTATACAAAACAAAATTTATATGTTTTAACTTTAAAATATCTTGATTGATCAAGAAAATAACATATTTTGTGTTATCTACTTTAATTATTTAATTAAGAACTTTCATTGTAAATTAATCAAATGCCTTAGTAACGTCCATAAATACAATGAAGTTAGACTATTAAAGTATTTACCTTTCAGAAACCGGTTTGAAGGCATCCTTCTGAATTCTATCGAAAGATGTGTTGTCACAAAGTAGTCTTGCGAGAGATGAGCGCTTTATTTCAGCAAGCTGTCTCTTAGTGAACTTGCCGGCTTCATCTTGGTGGCTGTAGAAGTATCTGTCTCCTGCCTTTGTGCGCCAAAGTTGTTCCTCTGTGAAAAAAAACGATTGTTTTAGTAAAACATTGACAAATAAATAATAATGTACAATATTTTATTTGTTGTTTTTGTTTCTTTACTCATAAATATTTTTAGTTTTAAAAGCAGGTATGTTAGTTAATTGATAATTTTTGCACTGGGATTCACATTAGAGTTATAGTTTTTGTTTTTTAGAGGTTTTGCCTCTTTGTTGATGATGATGATGATAAATGAATACTTACTAATGATGCAAATTGCTGTCGGTCCCAAAAGAGATCCAGGGACAGGTGACTCTGCCATCAGACCAATGACTAGGTCGATGTCACCAGGATGCTCGTACAGTTTTGCCAGTTTTTCAATTGTCTGTAAACAACAATCGATTATATTATGACCAGAATTTATTTTAAAGCATGGCATTACCTACTGTTAGTCTCGAAAACACTCTGCAACGTCCTATCGGCAACGTTTGTACACCTTTTTATACGGTATGCACATTTAATAAAAATAATTATTTTTGTTTTTCATTGATTATTAGTCGTATTTTAAGACTTTTCTCGGTTACTCATAAACAAAAGCCAAAAATTTCAAAATGAAGGTTTAGTAAAGGATCTTACCTCTTCTGGCATAACATCACTGAGTTGTTGGAAGCTGGAGACGGCAGGTAATCCACAGAGAGTGCGGTATTGGATGTATCCAGGTAGACCATGGTCACGACCACGTTGGATGTCCACAGCCAATACATCAAGACCACCAAGCCATTGCTGACGGAGCTGTGCCATAAAATAAGACATTAATACCTTTATATTAGAGTAATTTAAGACTCAATGACATTTCATAAGAATGATGAAGGTTTTACGTAATAAATGCTTTTATCGTCGTAAATTTTTCTTCAGGACCATAATGGGGATGATGACAGGGTATGGAAATTAAAAATATAATTAGTCCGTAACTTAGGTAATAAAAAAATATTAGACACGTATTTTTTTATTTTGTTGTATAATAAAACAATACTTAGATAAAACGAATCAAAGTTTAGGAGTGGGGGTTAAAACGTCATTTCTTAGTATAAAATATACTGAGAAGTGACGTCACGCGACATTTCAAATCAATATATCTTCGAAACTATTCGTTTCCGTAAGAAAATAAAAAATACGTGTCTAATGTTTTTAAATAATCTACCAGACGGACATTAAAATAAAAATTAGTCGTCTACCC